AAAAAGCACGGAATATGCCAGTTAAAATGTATTTCGTTTCCAAACATTTTTTTAAAAACTGAGTCGTAAACACAGGTTTCATTGAAGTCTTAACGCAATTTGTTTGTTTCCGGCATCAAAGTCATTCAAATTGTGATAAAAACCCAGCGTGACTTCACGCATACAACTGAGGCCAACAGACCTTGCTTCTTCTATGTCAAGTTCAACTTCTGAGGCCAGAACTATAAAAGGCAAGACATTGCCTGTTCATATATGGAAACCTAACAGTTCAACCAGTCTGCAAGTATCCATGTCAACATGAACAATAATCCTTCAGAGTACACGGACAGTTTTCAGGCTCGTATGAGAAACATTGATCACTTGTAATTGGGTCTTTAGGCATAAGAACATTAATTCATTAATTTTTATTTGGAAGTACATAGCGCATCCAGAAAGTACGTTTACCTATTTTGTGAAATAAAAAAAGCATAGTTACGTACAAAATTTTATTTGTAACAGCTACAGCAATGTTGGAGTTATTTTTCGACATAGCCACCACACCAACTGAGACACTTGTCACATCGTGGTATCAACTTTTATATACCTGTCTCGTAGAAGTGTGCCGCCAGCGACTGGAACCAGCCTGACACAATCGTCTTTAGATCTTCGTCGTTGTGAACACGTTGACGGGAGGACAGTAATTCCTTCAGGTGTCTTCTAGAAAAGACCGATGTATGCGAGATCATGACTGTGTGGATGATAAACAGCTCCCAGCTGGACTGCTGCAGAACGGTTGCTGTTTCCCGCATACTCCCGTAAGTGGACGAACATTGTCATAGAGCAGCACAGTAAGCAATCCAGTAAGAACATGGCCAACATCTGCACTAAGCAAGCCAGTAAGAGATCACGAATTTTGATCGCCGTGCCGTGCTATGCATTAAGGAACTTATCACGGACCAAACCTCGCAGACGGCGGAAGAACGAATATGCGCTGCCAATTCAGGCCACTGCTGCAACGCTACTGGCCCTCGGCGGGGCCTGTCCGGCCGGCACATCATTGATATGTTATGTATGCGCAACTTCCTCGTCTAAATGCGTGTACTTTCAAACAAAAAATACGGAAACTTACTTTCTGGATTTGCCTCGTATATAAAGCTTTATTGCTTCATATATTCTGAAATCTAACCATAGCAGTTTATATGTCGAGACTCAGACATTGAATGTGTTTAATCATATATATATATATATATATATATATATATATATATATATATATATACATATATATATATATATATATATATATTATATACTACCTAGTTATCTATAGTAAGTAAAGTTAACAATAATAATAGTGGCCAAAGGCACTTTCAAATAAATAGTAAGTTCCATGCCCAGTGCGCGAATTACTTCGCGCATTTATTTAATTAAATACCTTTATTATCCTATAAGGCAGCGTAATTTTGTATACATTATAAAAAGGGGTGAAAATAGCTATTACACATTCATTTTTATTTTAGTATTTTAGTTTCGTGTTATTAAAACATGAGAATTTAGTACTGAAATGAACGTAGATATGTAAATGCTGAAACTTCAATGACTTTCGTAATTATAAGCTTTTAACTTCAGCACTTGTGACAGATGAATATTTCATTGTCAGTCTAACAAATAGTGCATTAGTTATATCTCCCTTCTCTAACGCACAGCTACGATAACCAGGGGTTTTTATTTAATATAGACTTCAGCTTCAGTTTAATGTTCTACCCAGGTACGATTGCAAGTTAATTTACCATAACACGGAATAGGCATTTTTTACGCTTTTACAAAATAAATTAAGCATTTAGACATTCTAATTGTTATCAAGATATTGTAGCCGCACTAATGTTTTTATTGACTCAGTATGAAATGAAAATTGTTCATAAATAATTTCGAGTTTTCATTTTCCAGGTAAAAGGAGTGAAAAAGAGAGTTAAAAAAATTAAGAATACTATTTCGTAATTATACTTGAGTTACACATTCGTTAACCTATCGTTTGCAGGTTTTTCTAGTGCAATAGTTAATCCAGGAATCACTTAGATAATGTGTATCTATAGACGTTAGACTGTAATTTTCAGCCCATGAGGGGAAGCAAACGACCTAAGGCCGATAGATACTCATGCTAGTACCTACGTGGACTTGAAGATTATCATCGGCACTGTTGAAGACTGACGACTAGCATTGTAGGTTTAGAGGTACTATTTGTTATTCACCGGAGTATAAATATTTATTTATTCTAATGTTTTCGTTAGTGACTGTGCATTATTATTATTATTATTATTATTATTATTATTATTATTATTATTATTATTATTATTTATATTAATATCTAATATTATTGTTATTATCTATTATTATTACTATTAATATTAGTATTATTCCTCTACTTCAGAACTAATGACGCTATGAGTTGGTTGAATATAAAATCTACTCCAGGTTGCAACCAGCTTCCTAAGTAGCAAATTTAGGGACTGTTGGCGCCTCTACAATATTTTGGGCAAAATGCGTGCTGTTTCGAATAAAGCAATGTCTTGCACTTTCCAGTCTTTTGCATGACCTGGAAGTTTAGATAAGTTCTTACCCAAGTTTTGCGGAACAAATACCAGAGCTGTGAAAACTATCATAACGACCTGTGCTTTTAAGCACCTCATTCGGTGGATCTCTACTTCTTGCAAAGATGATGTTTCACTGCCTCTTTGGTTACGACGTATTTTATCGCACGGCACAGCCACATCTACAAGTAGATATGTTTTTATCCAACACCCGGATACATTGAAATATTCACTTATAACGCACTGTTACCTAAAATAAATTCCCTGTGTTTGTTTCAAGTATTAAGATCTACTTCTTCTGCTGTGCCTAATGTAATGAATTTAATCTATCTCTCCTGTAAATGGATGTTGTCTTAATTTCTTTTCATGTCGTATGGCACTTATTCACTCTCCTTTTCCTATTCTTTCTCTCAAAGCCACTGTCAGCGATCTTTTACATGACATTCTAACTGTAAAACAGCTACTGAAATAATAAAAACGCAAAGAATTATTTTTATATTTAAATAAACTGAATTATTTTCGAGAACAATTAAAATCAATAAGAATTTCTGATATCCATTTTTTATTGAAAATAGTGTGTAAAGTAAAGTTATTTTTATTCAAAGTAGTACACTACTGTGAATAGCACGTCGGGAATTCTAATAAAAACACATACTTTTTATTTAATATCAGAACGTAACCTGAAAATCATATTTTCCAAATACACAACTTTAATTTAAACCGATGTTTTATTTTGTGCTGCCAAAAATGTACGAAAAATATTGAAAAAAATATAACTTGTCTTTGCACGCCAATCGATTATTTTGTAAAATTTTAACTTCTTCACAGCTGGTATAATAGTTGGAGTATTGTCGCCTCTTGGTGTTTGTAGCGAAGAAGTACACCAATGGCACCAATATAATAATTTGTGTCGTACCTCAATAATTCTGTATTTTACGGAGTAGTAATTTCAAATTAAAGAAGAATTTTTAGTTTCGATGCTTAAATAACTCAAAAATAGATGATCACCGAGATCGTCGAATTTGGTTCAGTGGCTCTCTCGTATGGGGGGTGCTATAAACAACGCTATTAACTAGCTGAATTCAGTAGTCCACTAGCTGAATACGACTGACTGATTGTTTCAGGGTTCCGGGCGAGTCAACTGCTTTGGCTATCAGCCCCGGAAGTAGGGTAGGGTTTTATCACTGGAAATGACAGTGTTCCTCCCCTAGTCAATGGTGAGATCAGGCACAGATCTACACATCGACATGTGCAGTTTTCCCCATCCAGGTAACTTCCCCCAGAGAGGAATCGCCCCATCCGACACAAGCTCTGTGCTCCCAACTGGTCTGCCGTCATGTGTTGTAGTGCAATGCGTGAATATGCAAGGAGAGAGAATAGGACAAGGAAGAGGAAAGAAAGAACTGCGCGCTGCCCGTGTGTAATAAAGGGATGAGGTTAGGGCAAGGAAGAGAACTACCGAGCAGAGCATCGGGACACTCGAATTCTGCTCCAGAGAGCGACTGAATACGACCCAACTAAGTAGGAAAATAATCCTGCCACCTTCGGAACTCGAACCCTAGGACCTCCCGCTCAGAGGCATTGCAGTGACGTCAACTGAAGTCCTGATCCAGCTAAGCCAGAACCATTGCATAAAATTCTGTATATATACACTCACTAACTTCTCATATACTATGATATAAACCATATAATATAAACAATACAAAATTTCAACATCATAGGTTAAACAATAAAAACTTTTTTCTTAATATTTTGGACTTCCTATTCTGACATCATCAGCTAAACGTATGAAATAAGAATTAGAGTACACATACAGAGGTTTCTTGTCTGGCAAACCATGTAGTGCATGTACACCTGTATAGATAAGAAATCATTATTTATTAAAGTTTATATCCTTGCTATTACGTATAAACCTTCGTAAATACGAAAATATTCATCTTTTCTAACACATTTATAACTAGTACAAGAAATAGGGGAATAAGATAAAAACGAATTTGAATGTGATTATACAAATATTATTATCAAAGTAGTTCCACGAGTTTTTGATGTGTTATCACAAGGAAACAAAAAATAAAAAATATTACAAATATTATATTCTTTAACCCAGCACATCATGTTTGTTTTTTCTTCCCTGATATTCTGCGTCTCCTGCCAAATGATATTCCAAAAACTGGAATAATGAAATGATAAATGAAATTAACATTAAGTTGCTGAAACACAACAATTTTATGTAATGGTCCACGTTTCCTTCTGACAAATAAACGGTGAGTTACAGCACGTATTAACCTGTCTTCCCATATCTCTTGAAACGTCACCGGAACATTAAAGCACTTTATTGATTAAGGGGGATATAACGGATAAGTGAGAGAGCGACATTTTAATATTAGGAGGAAGCACGTAATATATAAAACCACCAGTCAGTTCTTTAGACGCCCAGAATCTAGTTTTTCCAAGCAGCACTTTCCAGTCCACATCATGGCACGCGCCTTCATTCTTCTCAGTCTTCTGGGGCTGATTCTTACGGTAACGATTGAAACTCCAGCACGCTTAACCCGAACGCAGCAAAATATTTACTAAACAATTTACGTATGAACCAGGCTAAACTTTGCGAAACGTTACCTGTTTCATTTCTCTGCTCACGGCACTAGAAAGTATTATTGTAAATCACGTAAGGTAACATGATGTCTATAAAAGTGAATATTTCGTGGATTTTAAGTTTTAATATGATATAGTTTGCATATTGGAATATTATTAAGGAAGATAAATGTAATATTTTCAAAAAAGTAAATTTTGTAGAATTATATTTATGACTATGGTATTGATGTATTTCTTAAGAAGGTATTTAGTGAAGTCACACAGTTTATTATGTTATAAATTACTTCAGTATATTTCAATTACTCAGAATTTGAATTTTGTAATTTTTCAAAAGGAAAGAAAAAATGATTTTCGTTATTCGCTGAAGTAACATGACACTGTCTTTTCAGATGACCTTATATCTTAACTAGTGGTACTAAAATATCACGTACTTTCTTGCCTTTATTTTTACGCAAAATTACGCAAAAAAGTATTCAAATATTCGAAAACATTTAATGACTTTATTTCAAAATCTATCTTTAAGGAACATATTGCATTAAGGAAAAAATTCATATCTTCAATGTGAGTACTTAAACATTGATTTTTTGAAAATTGCAAAAGTTCAAATTGTTTTCGAAGTCTTCCTACAACAGGAAGACTTCGAAAACAATTTGAACTTTTGCAATTTTCAAAAAATCAATGTTTTCTACCGACATTAGACCTGCACTATTCTTTTACAAGCCATTCACACCATCCAACAACGAAATTTAATCGAAACTTGCAGAGCTATTTTTTGAAAATTTTGAAACAGTTGTATGGGTTCTATGTAAATGCCCCCAAAATTAAAATATCAGTTTCAAATCAAATAGGCCGTGACATCTGCCAGATCGATTGAGGAATATAAACTTTGAAGAGAATCGTCTGAACGGCCAGTGTTTTTTTACAGACGAACTGACAGACAGATGGATGGACGGACGGACGGACGGGCGGACGGACGGACGGACGGACGGATCGACAGACAGACGGATGTACGAACGGACAGACGGACGGGCAAACGGATAGTCAGGCGGACGGACAAAGACGGACAGACAGACGTTTTGCCGTCGTTCTATTATTCGCTATCAAGGACTCACAAAACATGGATTCTGGTTACACCAGTGATAGAGAATTTTTTCTCAAAATGCAACTAGGTTTATAGATTTTTTTCGTTACAAGGCCCTGTAATAAGAGATTTTCTGCCCGAAATTCGCCATTTCCTCCCACCCCCCGAAGAATTACATATATTTCTCTTCACTCCGTAGCGATAAAGTAAAAATGGTGGTTTTCGATCTAATAAATTCAATTTTAATAATTTCTAAGAAGTATTTTAACGAATGTGAATAATACATTTTACTAGCTCTTTTTCTAGTTTGTGAAATGCATATACTTTTCGCATTACAGTTTTATAGATATGCAAACTTAAGATTGGTTTGAAATTAAAAAACGAAAAATATTTTATTTTTCAGGTATTTGTGCAGCCTGGACTCTCCCAGATATGTAAGTCAATGAAGTGTCATGAATAAGAGTTGTATAGATTATATTTCACTTCAAATATTGTAGTAGTTTGGCGGGTATATCATTGTACCCGCACTCGAAATATATAAAATGACCGGAAGGCCGAGAGAATAAGACAACCTAAACTGTAATTGAATTGTTTATCAGAAACCTGTCAAATGACAAATTCCTCATTTCTAGAAAACTGACAAAAAGTCTCCCAAATTTTCTGATTGCAAAATATGTATATTTATTAAAACAGCTGATAAATTAATATTTTTCATTTAAATACGCACTGTATGATGTGTCTATTCTTTTGGGGTAATAATCATCCACTAATGCGTGTTTTAGATTTTGAAGTTGAACGGGTTTCTGAAATAAGCGATTCCATTGCAACACGCATAGTTTCGGAGTAACACGAAAGACGAAATTGTACGCCTTGCGACATATCGCGTGAGGTCGTGTAATGGTGGTTTGCGAAAGTAGTCCTCCGATTACTTCGTTGTCTTTAGTTTGAATATAGTTGCACAGTAGCCCAAGGTAAGGATAATTGGTTTCACGTTTAGAGTGATTAGATTCTTCGGACGCCAATTACCGAAATTGTCAACGAAAAACTGCAGTTTGACCAAAACACGCGGCAGTGCAATGGACAGGCAAAACTTTAGTCAAAATTCCGTGAAATAACTACTTTCATTATATTACACCACCATATTTATTATTGAGGAAAGTACATTTGCTGCCGCAAAACAGTGGTTCGAGCACTAGCTCAAAATGTTCCCCGCTTTTCTGGCACAGTAACAGAAAACAAGCCACAATGCTCCGTTGCACACTCTTCAATGTTTCGGTGGAGAGGGCAGCCGCAGTCATATGCATCCGCACGTCGTTCTATAGTCACATACACACAATCTCTGACGTAGTCCTACAAGCCGCCAGGTCGGGTGATCGCGGCGGTGAGGCGACGTGTTCGCTTCGGTCTATCCAGCGACGCGAGTAGTGTTCACAGAGGTGAGCGATAAACAAACGCCTCGAAAGGCAGCGTTTCGTTATCGCGGAACCATGCGCCGTCTATGCGGTCTTAGAACAGCCTGGTATCACATATCTGCATGCCCAGCGGGGATGTCAGTTGGTTTTCGGCGTTGCAATGAATCTCTCGTCGCCAATAAAATCAATGTTGGTTTATATACGTATGGTGCATACGATGCATGTGCTACACTCTGTATTTTAACAAGTATGTAGGAAATCGTAATAGCAAAATTATTAGAGATAACAGTGTCAAATAACGACAGTTAATATCGCCAACTGTCATATCTGTAATGAACTTGGTAGAATTGACAGAAATGTTAAATAAAGGAGGGAGATTACAACTATTACACTGAAAAATGGATTGAAAAGTAGATACAGTCTACCAGAAGAAAATAAAACTTAAAAGGAATGTAAGCTCGAAAAAAATATGGAAATTCTTAAAAGGAAGATTCATCTTTCGGAATATAGTGTTGATTTATTGACTGTAATATTAATATCAATTGAAGGTTATTGTGGAATATATAATAAGTTGTTTAAGAATTCTGGAGGAAATTGTGCACCAGTCACTTGCAATGTATGTTTGTATCGTATTTTACGAAAATTATGAGAAACAAGGCTAAGTGTCAACATATTTTTTTCAAATGAAATCAAAACAAGTACTGCACCAAACGGGTAATTGGTCTCACTTTAAAACTCACTGGTCATAAATAAATATCAAAATAATTACCAGTGTGTGTAGTATATGAAAAATTATGTAATAGCGTTTTGAATAATTTGATTTAATTTTTTGGGAAAAGTCTGTTAATCATTTACTTTACATCTTATAATCTTACAAAGTAGTCATTAATTCTAATGCATGAAAACAATGACTTATTCAGAAAAGAAATTAGTATCCTATATTTCGGCAGATACGACTATAGACGAGTCACAAAACTGCCCCCAAAATATGAACCTTCCCCATTAGAAATTACACAATTTTTTAAGGATTTGATCCATGTTACCAATTTCTCTTTTCCCATGATTTGATCGCGAAATAACACAGCACAAGTGAAGTAGCTACAGCATGAGAATGCCATAATCAGTCCAAAATTCTAAATGTTTGCAAGAAGTGATTTAAACTGTATTTCGAGGCCGGTGATAATTCGGGAGGTCGCCTTATGGAATAGATATAATGCTATATACAACCTTGACGAAAATGTGTACCTTGTCTTATCTGCAAAAATACACAATATGTTTCTTAAGGTTAAAAAAACCGGCACTGAAATAGAACTAGGGCATGGATTTAGCTAAATTAGAATCGTTAAATTAAATATATATATTTTGTTTTATCAATGAATCAGGAACAATTACTTTTAAATGTTCTAGATCATGTCCGATAAATAGACTATTTGCATTGCAGCACAATCCGAAACCACTACCAACAGCGCCGCTTCTACCACTCAAGAGGCAACTCAAGAGCCAATGATAACCACTGAAGCCCCCACTACAAGAGACGATTCTTCATCAACAGTAGCTGACGATTCAACATCAACAACCTCAGACGATTCAACATCAACAACTACAGACGATTCAATAGCAGGCTCAACAGAAACTACAACGCAAACTCCGATGGTAGCCTGTGTTAGATTCTGCAGTATTTTTGGGTTTTTACAGACGATTTGCCAGCTAATATGCAATGTAATTATCTAAAAGAAACCAAATAACGGCAATATATAAAAATAATTGTATTCATAAATGAATCGAGGGCAATTTTAGTCTTGAAAATGTACGAATTTTGCAATAAAAATAATCTAGACTATTTCTGTTTCTTCGTGAAAGCCTACGATACTATATAATTTGTGTTTCGTTTGCTCCAATAGTGCTGCAAAATGTGAAGTGTACCAACACGGTTAAATACTATTCTTCTTCTCCTTCTTCTTCTAAGAACCTGTAAGATCATATCTTAGCTATCTATTTTAATTAATATAATGAATCCTATAATACCTTTCCCAATCCCTCCTTTTTCATGAACATTTGCTTCAAGGTGAGTACATAATATTAGATTTTTCCGAAATATAATTTAAGAAGAATATTTGATTCTTATGGTAGATGTATTTACAAAATGTTACTGAACCATGTATATTAAAAAAAATGTCCGGTAAGTCTCCATATTGTAAAAATGTGTTCTCTGCCTGTTCAATTGCAGTAAAATTGTTCGTAGGTTTGAATTGTACATAATAAAAAACTTTTAACACAATACATACACAAGTTTAAGACAGCAAATAATTTACCATGTTTGATCTTTTCACATTCATATTTTGAAATGAATTTTTAAAACACAATTTTTAGGTATAGTTGCAATACAATTAAGTATAAAATGTCAAGGGGGATGAATATCGGGAAACGAGATGTAATATGTGGTTTAGATTGTAATTTTGATCTTCAGTAAACTTTTTCGGAGCAGGAAATGCCGGTAAATTGCCCAAAACCTTTTTCGTTTATAGATGAAGACATGCTTCAATAGTAGACGAACAAGCGATAAATAAGTAATTTCCTTCGCGTTTGCCGTACTCTTTTTTAAGGTGCGCATTTCAAAGTGAAGACTACCTACAACAAAATCTACGTGACTTTTCCAGCTTAATTTACTACTGAAATAGTTTCCTAGGTACTTGCATGAGAAAACTATCGCAACGTCTTTATTTAGACGGTAATTTTTATCTCTGTAATAATGACCCCTGCCAAAAGTGATGTAATTGCTTTTGGAGCTTTTTATGGTCATTCCATTATTTTCCGTCCAGCAATGTAACGCATCAAGATCCCGTTGCAATATTTTTTCCTTTCTTTCGAATTCACACTACAATATATCATGCAATCGTCTGAAAATAGCCGAACATTTGATATTAAGTGCGCTGGCAGATCATTGACAAATGCTAGAAATAGAAGAGGTCCTTGCCCCGGTAGAAAACCCATGGCCAATTCGGACTTTCTGTTTTCTGTCTCGCAGAATCTAGCTTATCCACTCCACCACCCTGACATCTATGCCTGAATTCATTAATTTCTGTACGAACCGATTGTGAGGAACGTCATTATACGCTTAAGCAAAATCTATAACTATTGCATATACTCTCCCGCCCGCGTCAATTTCATCTGCTAGGTCCTCAAATAGCGTGCCTACCTGTCTTTCACATCAATAACTACTCCTGAAGCCGTGTTGGCCATCATAGAGCCATTTTTGATTTCTCATTCTTGCTTAATGTAACAGGCTACTAGATATTTCATAAGTTTGTAGACCACTGACGTAAGACTTACCGGCCTATAATTACTTAATAAAGTTTTGTCCCCACTTTTAAAAATTAGTACGACAAAAGCTAATTTCCAATCTTCAGGTACTTTAGAATTGTTTATGAATACGTGAAATATTCAAATTAGGTACGGTAATATTGTTTCTCCTAGTTTAATTATGGATTGATGGAGATAGAGTGAAGTATTGAATATCGGAGTATTACGTAAGGTTGAGATCGGTTTAATTTTTTATGTTTGTATGTACTTGGCGTGACAGCCTGTGAACGGGCTCATGCCTACCGGTGACGTCCCTGCCTCGCAGCCATGGGATAAGGGGCTACGTTGGCATCCCCACACCGTATTCTGCTCTTATCAACCTGAGAAGTGAATTTTCTCTTGGACACACAGCAACATATACTGGGATATTGCTAGGAAAACGCACACTATAATCTTGCCTCACCGGGAATCGAACCCGGGGCCGTGTAGTAAAAATCGGGCACGCTGATCAACAGATAGCCACGAGGGATATTATTTATATAGTCTTCAGATTATAAGTATAACTTTGTTTGTGCGTTGAGCCAGACTTGTATATTAACAATGTTATAGTTATTGTTATATTATTACCACTAAAGATGGAATTAAGTATTTCATTCGGCAATCTGGAATGACTTAGTGCTTTAATTTGTATTTGTCGCAATACCGTAACATAAAAACGGTTAACAGTGCATTAGCAATGAATTATTTATTAACACTCGCAGCATTATCACTTGATTTCCTTGGAGGTGCAGTACAATCAAATGAGGAAGTGGAGACGTAGTATTACTCGCGCAACTTTTCTTGATCGATGGATTGAAGAAATGCGGGTAGAGAGGGGGTATTATGTACGAAATCGGCCACTAGATTTCATGAAGGAATGCCAATCTCTGGAGAATCAGTGATGTCTTGGGAACATTCTAAATAATTTGCGGAGATCGAAGTATCTCCTGCGGTGAATCTTCATTTGCTTTGGTCATTTTATTAGATTTTTTTTTAGAAAATCATAGACAGAAGTTCTCGTCTTCAACAGAAAATAGTTTCTATTTCAAGCCAGTGAAGATGTATTTGAAACGTCATCAGTGCTCGCTGCACGCATTTGCATTCTACTATTTATTGTACCGGAGAGGGGGAAGCAAGGTCATCGTTCAAGAAAAGTTGCACGATTAATATACTTTGTCGGTACTGGAAATTATGTAAATAACAAATGGTGAACGATCAACGTCAGTTCTATTAATTTTACGATATGATGAAAGTTAGTGGCCAGCTTATAAATAAAAATGGTTAATAATAGCAAGTGAGAACACATTCGCGGCCGAATACTTAAAACGACATCGTAGGGTGTGTAGTTATTACACGCGCACGTTTTCTTGAGATCTGAAATACTTACCCCCATTCCTTTACGAACGTTAGCTGAATAAAGAGGAAACGATAACAAGGACAGTTGTTGACAAAATCTGATAACTCAATTCATTGCTCCAGTGTAACAGAAATAATTTTGGAAATAAAAACGAGCTACAAATTTGATGTATTAGTCCGGGCGTCGAAATAACCAGCCTCCTCAATCCTTAGATATTATCGAAATAAAGGTTCAGGAAAACGCGCGTAGGTAATATTTCTACTGAGAGATCTGTAATGCACTCTAAGTTTCAAACACATGATGCATGTGGTAAGGATACTCACCAAAACTGGTGACTTCTATTTGACTAGGTACAATATTGTACGACAAACTGATCGCACGATAGCGGCAAACAAATCGGTAATTGTAATCTGAGTTTTGGAGGCAAAAAACGTGTATACTTGTAGATATTGATGTGTCATGCAATCAAATATTGCTGTGTCGCAAAATTTGTGTAAGAAATTGGCTAAATTCCCTCGGGTATTCAAAAAACTGAGAAGTTTAAGGCTTTACTGGGAACAGCATCCATAATGTGTAAAGTATTGTAGAGCCACCGACGGTCACTAGATCTGCTCCTTAGGAAGCTGGATGAAACTCGGTGAATATTTATATTTAACCGACTCGTAACATAGAGTATGTGACATATTTGGGCTTACCCATTATTATTATTATTATTATTATTATTATTATTATTATTATTATTATTATTATTATTATCTTTATTTCTCAGTAAACTGGGCAAATGGAATCTGTCTTTTAGTGTCTTAGGACCAGTTTCTGCTCTTATAAAAAGAGAATTCACCCAACCCCACTTGAGCTTATTGCAAACACCTTCAAACAAATGTGACAAGACTGAAGTAAGACTGCCTTTTGCCCAACTGCTTGCAATTTTATCACTAGTTACAAAGTTCTTTTTAAAAGTTTTTGACATCACTCCTTCCGATGAGATCACCAAGGCATAAATATGCACCTTCTCAAATCGCCATATCTGTTTCAATTGCATTGCGAGCTCCTCGTACTTTCTGATCATCTCTAACTCAGGTTTCACAGCAGATATGTGTTCCCCTCAGTTAGAAAGATAGGGAGTTTTTCGGGATCGGATAGTGCTTCGGAGAAACATCTTGCTAAAGATACATGTGCAGAAAGAAGATGTTTCAGCAAAGAATTCTGGATTTTATCGAGGCCTGGCGCCTTCCTTGTTCTTAATGTGACGGTCCATTCGTACGCGACACAATGATAACTAAAAATATACAATAAGATTACTAAAAACTGACGTATTTAATAAAAGAAAACAGTCAAAGATCCAAGGGTGGAAACACAATGTATTTATTTTTAAAACAATCCACAGAACTATGCTGGTAGCAGAGATCAGTAGAATAAATAAATAAATAAATAACCGTTTAGGAAGGATATACACTCACCCGAACTCGAACAGGGTTATTATATAATAATGAGAATCTTTTATTAAATTAATGAATTTTCATATGTTTGGAAAAGCAAAGTGAAGGATATAAGAAATGGGAGATTACACAAACATTTAGACAATAAAATATTACGAATTTGTAATAGGGGAAGGGTAATTAAATTTGTTATTTGAAGTTTAATTAGAAAGTATTACAATGTAAAATTTGTGGAAACCAAAAAATATTTAAAATGGGAATATAAAAATGTACAGCCGGTATGACACAAGAGATCCTTTGTTTTAAAACTGCTTGGTGAGGAGGTAAGTGTATAACAATGCATATGGACAGGCAGGTTAGTGATCTGCTAGCACTGACATCCTGGCAGAAGTGAAATCTTTATGAAGTTTCATCTAAGTTCTTCAATCTCAATTAAGTTTTTCATGTAAAAGTTGGTTGGAAGGTGGTAGGATGTTGTAGAGTAGTGTTCGATAGTAAGGAATATAGTCCGCGATTGTTTCTGTTTATATTTTGAAAAGAAAAGGATGGTACCGGCGACGAGAAGATGCAAATAATCTCAGCAGCGGATTTTATGGGGTCCTGCAACAATGGAGGTGTCGCAATTTTTTCAACAGTCTTATAAAAAAGGCCAAGATTGTAACCAACTAAGTAATTATTAGTAATGGCTATTTGAGTATTTTTTTAAATTTTATTTTCAAAACGAGTGCACTCGCCTGAATGAGTGCCGTTTAAATATGTATGAATGAGTGAGTGTTATTGAATTTGTTTTTTTT